AGTAGGAGGGGTCAGGGCTGCCAGGAGGGCTGAGGCTGCGCACAGCTCGGCACAGGAGTGGCGAGGCCCGGTCAATGCTGGGTTTGGTTCTCCCTTGGCTCTTTCCCCCAAGAGGAGCCTGTTCACAACCACAAGATGGGCACACGAGCTGCCCAAAACACACGGCCTAGGTGTGGTAGAGGGCACCATGTCCACAAAGTCCTCCTCACCCACAGCCACAAAGAGAGGGGATCTGGCCAAGCGGTCTCCCATGTCAGTATCAATAACATTCACACTGGCTGCCATGAGCAAAACCATCAAGGAATAAACTGGGAATAAACTCGCTAAAACTCCATAGTTGAGCTTATGGAAATCTCCTGTTCCTGCGTGGTCCTGACACAGCTTTAATTTGTCAGGGGAGGGTAGTGAAGGATTATGTAAGAATTGTGTAAGAACTATGTAAAAATTATGAAAGAATTAGTGGAGGCAAGAGGAGCAAAGAAAAAAACAACTTGAAAATTCAGTAAATTAATTTAAAAATTAAATCCCATTATTTTAACTAAAGGGTTAGATTTCCATTCCTACTCAAAGTCGGTCGTTATCCAAGGGCTCATGTATTCAGGCAAGCACAACAAATAATGACAGCAAAGAGGGGGCTGTGCAAGAGCAAGAAATCAGTTTCCTCCTCTGACGGCGTAACACCTTGCCAAGGGCAGGTACCTGCATGAGAAAGCCTCCACACCCTGATGTCCCCATCAGCAGGCTAACAGAGCTTAGTCTCGATCAAGTTACGGATGGTTGATGGAAAACCACACTGGGGGTCATGCCTGAGCTGGGGTGTCCTGTTAATTCTCAATCTGAAATAGTGTCTGTTTCTGAGGATCAACCTTCAGGAAAGATAGATGCCAATTAGAAAGCATCCAGAGACTACAACTAAGAAGAATCAGGGTTTCAGGAAACATGGTCTCATCGGATTAATCACAGGGTGAATGGACTTGTTTAATGTCAGGAAGAGAAGGCAGGAGAGCTGTGTGTGGGCCTTTAAATATGTAAAAGGCTAGTGCAAATAACAAGGGAATTACCCTCTCCCTGTGCTCCCTGTTGAGGGCAAGAGGAATTGGCCTTAAATGAAGCAAAGGAAATGGAGTTGAGGTGTTACAGAAAGAGAATTCAGAGGTAGTTTGGAAGAGATCTGCGGTATCAAGAGTAAAAACAAATTAGGGTTTGCATCTCCTAATGCAAAAACCAGAGAGCTTACACATCTTAGCCGCCTCTTATGAGAACGCCCTCTAGGTGACAGCTGAAGAAAAGCACTGCTTCGGCACTTTATTTCAACTACAGCATTTCAAAATACTTTTTTTGGGGGGTGGGGTGGGTGGGGGCATGTGTAAAGATTTCACCAGTCTATTTTTTCAGACCTAATAAGCATATATTACAGGGTAATTTGATGCAGAGACTACATGGCGAAATGTCATGCTCTGCCTTTTGGAGGCAATTGGCATAGATGGGCAGAATGTGCCTTTAATTATTTCACAATTATATTTACAGAATAAACTATAACCAGAGCAAGTCTAATCATGGGACTGGCTATCTCTAGACTCAGCCCACTAAGTTGTGGTGGATTCCTCAGTCACTGAAAAAATTATTGGCTAACTTCTCCCTTGAGGGTCTGCCGAGTGTCTCAGTAGTCTCATCTATACCTCAGAGTTGTTTTGATCAATACGCCAATATCCTGGAGTTACAAGTTCATCCCTCCAGAAGAATAAAAATATATCCTGCGTGCAAGGGAAGAATACAAGTATAGGAAAATACGTTTCAACAGAGGTAACTTCAATCTACTGGTTGTTGTTTAACCTGGCTGGTTGACCTTGACTTTCCCAGGGTGCTGCTTTGGTCATACATCAGGACTGAAAAAAAAGCTACACATCAGTAATAAAACTGGATCTATCATGCAAAACCAAGAATTACTTCTAAATATGGTTTTGTAATTACATATGTGACTGGGAGCCTCCAGTGATAAAAAACTATTTCTACTTTCAAAGTAAAGGCTGATAGTTCCTGAGAGTAGCTTAAGTAGCCATTCTCAAGATAATGCTACGATACAGAATGCTTTGGCTTGAGGAAGGGTACGGTCACAGAAATCATCAGGCACTGTAAAAAAAACCACCAACTAGATTCTTTCTGTATGGATACAGCTTTACCAAACAGTAAGCCACTGGCCAACAAAAGCTGATGTTCTCCAAATTCGGAATGGTTGCCCATCATGAATGTATGTTCAATAGCTACAATTTTTGGGGGAAGCTTATGACACACAATTGGCAAAAGATGATCCCACATCCAAAAGCGGCCCAATGCCAATTTGCAGCAACAGCCATTGCATTTTAAGCAGAGAACATTTTGCCACACAACTGAAAAGCCTGAGTATATTTGGATGTGTATTTTCAACTATGATTGGGCAGGTGATCGCAAGGGAGCCACACAAGAGTGCTTCCCCTGCTGAATTTCAGGATTCTGTCCAAAGAAGTGCCAAATTCACATGGCTCCAGCCATCTGAACTGAAACACGCTAAAACTTTGTAACTTACTTTCTTGAAAGCTCAGGAAAGTTATGAACACACTGAAGGCAAGATCTTCCAACAGTCTTTAGAAATCACAGACACAGTTACAAGTTTTTCCCACAGTCTGTTACAAGTTTAATTGTGCAAAAATACAGTCATCAAGACTTCAGCTTTCTTGTGAACTGAACACAGTTCCAGTGATGTGCATGTATAGAAAGAAATACTACTGTAATTAGAGCAAATACACCGAAATTGTTGAGACAACCAGTGGTTCGATGCACTGAGGTACTGTTCTCAAGTGATTTAGACAACCTATATTTAACTACTGTACATTAAGAGAACCAAAGAAGTGACACCTAAAAGGAAAGCTAGTCGCAGGCTAATGAAGTTTAAGACTGCACTAACTCAAAAGAACAATAAAAAATGGTTTAGACAGATTCCCCAGTGATGGCCAAGAACTAGTCTGCGATACTGCAGGTGTGAAGCATAACTGCTCTTCATTTACACAGTATATATCTTTTGTTTCAGCAAAACGAAATACTTTCCTAATGCCAGTATTTATTTCAGGCACAGGAAGATGGAGCTCTAACAACCTTTAAAATTGTATTTCAAACTATGAGACACCAATGGTGTTGCAAAAGAAATAGATAAGAAACCCAACCAACTTTATAGCTCAGTCCTCTGGCTCCACCACTTAAACAAAAAAGCCCCACCAAAATAATACATATGGACAAGAAAGGCATTGCTGAATCCCCTTGCCCTCATTAAAATCTCCCTGTAGTGCCTACATCACTGAGGAAAAAAAACAGTTTTCCAAGCAATTCCTCTCCTTGCGCATCTATGTTTTAACACAATCAGATGGAACATTCATAATGTTCTGTGCAGCTACTTTTTGGTCTTAACAAATCTACGTGCTTCTTGCAAAAGCGTTTCAACATCTTCATTATCCTTGTCTTCTGAACTTGGTTCCCAGTCAGAGTCTTCATCAGTAGGTTCGCACTCCTCTTCGTCATCATCTATAAAGCTGTCATTAAGGTCATATTCATTTGGTTCATCATTGTCACCATCTTTCTCCACAGACTTTTTTCCTGTAGGGACAAAAATGTCATGTATGCATGAATCATAAATACCAGAAGAAAGAGACCTTCCAAATACCATCTAGTTAGTCTCTCTCCTCAAGAGGAGAGAGGATCAACTAAAGCACTCTACCCAATGCTTACGATTTTAAATTTCATTAAAAGCTGCACCATCTCTCTCTGGTACCTACTGAAGCATCTACCAGTCCGATTACTTCGAAAGTTCTCCTTACTGGCTTTTCTTCCAGCACTTGGAAAACAGTATGAGGCCTCCTCTGATATAAGAACATGACAGTATCAGATAATGTCTTCCGATAACTCTCCTTTCCTTAAGGAGCAAGACACACAATTTTCTTAGTTGTCTTCTAGCTACTTCTGTACCCAAACAATACATCTATCTTGCCATTTAGCCCCTTGGTATGGCTAGGCAGCTAATTTGACCCTAGGTTTTCTGCCTTCATCCATCCATACTTAGGGCTATTTTATCCCCATACCCTTTGGAATCTGACATAGCTTTTATTTTCCATTCGCTTCTTTCCTGAGCTTCAGGTGAGAGAAGGGAATCTGCTACATCACTTCTCCTACATTCTCAACTGGTATCCACATTGGACAGTCTGCACTTCCTTTCTGAACACAGGTTAAGGAAGTGACAGACAATGAACATTTCTTTCCTGAGCTGGGTGCAGCCTACCTGTTTCCCAGTTCAGTCTATCCTATCACACTGCTTTATAATCTGCTGTCCATCCATCTTCTTCACAACTTACATTACAGGATCAAATTGCTCTCTGCCTTCATAGTACTTCACAATACTCTGTACTGGAAGGAATCAAAGACTCAGAAACCTCTATTTACAAGAAATGGATGCTGTTCTCAGCATGTTCCTAAACTTTGTTACACAGCTTATTTTGCAGTATTCTTTTAATCACTCAAATATGTTAGCACATTTAAACCAAGTCCCAGAGGCAGGATAATTCTATTTGAAGAAGCCTTATATATCTGACTTGGTAGTATCTGTATGAAGCTGCGAACCTTCAACAAGTTTATTTCCACTGCTTCCTGCTTTTGGCAGATGTGTGTAACCCTTGCTCTACAAGCTTGCATTGTCTCCCTTTTTTCCTACATGTCCACAGTTCCTAACTAGCCACTAGCTACAGTCTGTTAATATTCCAATTGTGTTATTCTGCCCTTAAGTCATTCCTCTGAGTAAAACCATGTTCATCCCTCTTCTTCCCAGCCTCCAATTTTGCATTCTTATCTCATCTAGAGATAACCTGTCAATGATCTCGTACAGGTAAATTATCTATTGAGCAATTCTTGTCATCTTTCATATGAAACTATAAACATGTATTTTTTTTTTTCCCTCAGCTACAGACCCCAGCCCAAATCATCAATGTTTATATTAAGCATAAGCATTTCTTAGCAATCTCTTGTACCCTCAGGTCACAGCCCCAGGCATTCAAGCTACGCATGTTGGTGAATAAACGAGAATACCAGTACCTTATGTAGTCACACCACATTCTCTATCAGTTGCATTTTTCTACTAGTGGGAACATTACTATTCCAGAATTATCTTACGGTCTGATTAACATTTTATACTCCATAGCAACTCTTACCCAAGGTATTCACAAGCATTTACAGCATTAGCCAAGTTTTTAAAAGATACACAATTTTATGGGTGAATTGTGTTACAGAGGCACTGAATGACCTCCTAGAATAATGTCAGCCACATGTGACACAGCCAATAACTGAGAACTATCCCACAGCTAGCAATCGATATTCTTTGAAGGACCAACTGTGCGCCATCGAGCAGAAAATCCTGAAAATGCTAACTGCCAATGTGAGCTGTAATCCACTATTATGCTTGCCAGTTTATTGTTTATCAGACTTTAGAGGAACTTAATCATATCCATGTTTACCGGCAGAATTTCTTATAAGAATCACAGGCTATGGTCCTGCAGAATTAATTATGTCTTGGAGGGGAGAGGTCAAAACAAAGATGCTAAATACAAGAACAAAATCCCTCTTCTCAGCTTATAAGAATAATAAGCCCAAAACCTGCTTAGCAAAGAAAAGCTCTTCACTTTCACAACACTGTGGGTGGTATTTTACAACAGCAGTAGGAATTCTGGAAAAATACTGATTACTTCCATCAAACTATATATCTTTTTTTTTTTTTTAATTTATTTTTCCTACAAATGTAGGAGGAGCATACTATGTTTTTTCCTCCCCGTACATTAATGCTTTTAGATTTCAGCAGCGAATTATGCGCTTCCTTCCATGTCTTCCCACTACAGCTTAATCCATCCCCACTGCCCCTAAAGCTGCTCATTAAGCTCAATTCTGCCGTTCCCTAGTACCATATTTATCAAGATGACCTTGAAACTTTCTCTGAAAGTATCTGCTCTGTGTGGGGAGAAAAAGCTTGCTGACCACCTCTTTCAAAGAGTTATGTTTGGAAGTAAGCTGATTAGCTTTCTAGAAAACCTACAGAGAAGCATGTAGGAGAATCCTGCACAGTTCCTAGCCACAGCAGGTCATTCATCTAAGTAACAACAATGTAGTGAGGTCATTCAGTAATGACAATTTAACAGCATAACTCCAACCTTACAATTATTCCTCCGGTAATTAGCCTTAGATTATTTCTCAGAACATAGAGCACATTCTCTACAGGAAATTTACAACCTCTCTAGTAGGAATTAGACTAAAAATGTTAAGAACTGAACATGTCAAACATCACGTAGATGGTACCCTTCTTTTCTTGGCCAGTGGAGTTTAAATACACTTGTATGGAAATTAATCCTGCTGCGCTTAACAGTGCAGTTGTGCCAAACAGCATGAAATAAAGGTTAATGGAGCCCTGACTGTCTGTGTCACCTTGCACAGCTCGGTACAACTGCCTCAGATGTGAACGTGCTGAGCACAACCTTTTACAACCTTTGCCCTCAAGACAGCTAAGCAAGACAGCCGACATTAAAAAAAAAACAAACCAAAAAAAACCAAACAGCAAATATGAATAGCACTTCAATTAATGAATTCCCTTCTTTCCCCTGCGCATGGAATATCAATTCTTCTCTGATTTTTACTTAGCAAGAGGAATTGAATTTGACAAATAGAATTTCACTTCCATGTTAAAGTTTTACACGCTTACAAGAGAAGCACTTTTCCATCCATAGTCACACTTGGCTGACCATGTGCCATGAGCTGTACACACAAGATCCACTTCAGGTAAGGAAGGGGTTCTCATGAAGGGCACAGCTACACTTCAAAGCCTTCAAGATTTAGATTTAGAATAAGGACTTTAGATATGCACACATTCCACCTTGCTTCATTATAAAATCTTAACCACTCACTGCTCTTACAATGCTGCTAGCAATTCTCACCACAGCGTAATACGCATTTCTACAATGGAGCAGTGACCAAGATAGGGCTGGTACTCGCATCACAGGATGCAGCAAAACAGGCCGGCAATGCATATGCCTCAGACTATGCTAGTGCACACATGCAACAATACCAAGCATTCAGCAATAGCAAAAGTGCACACATATATGATAAGGAAGTGGAACTGGAAAGAAATTTCTCAGCAGAAGTATAAAAGCAACCTCTTGCATCCACCCACAACAGAAATAGAGGCCAAAGTACTTGGCCTAGAAAACTTACCTACAACTATTCGCACTTTTACTTATTTTCTGTAGAAGGCAGATCTCTATTTTGAGGATTTCTTTAGGAAATGCTCAGCCACCCTTGGTGACCTCAAGACAGACAAGCCAGTTCCCACTTACACTTGAGATGCAGATCCATGTCCTCGTGCCTTGTTCAGGCCAGTGAAAGCGAAGATGGCACATCATCAGACTTTCAGACTGCTCTTTAGAGCTTACTTCTAGATTGTTTTAGAAAGAATAGGAAGCTTTGCATTTGGAAGCTGACACACAGAAGAAGCCTCAAAACAGACCTAAAGGATATTTAAAACTGGAGTCTATGCACCCCCAACATACAAGTTAATGTTGTTAGCAGCAGCAAAGCAAGCAAGGTGTGCCACTGGTAAATAGAGGAGGTATTCATACACAGTATTACAATTTACATCATCAAGAGAGACTACAGCTTGCCTGTGCTCCTACATATTCCTCACTGATGACTAGAAACTAAAGTAAGAAGGATACATACGTAGTTTACAGTGAAAGCTGCCCCCAACTCAAAGGCATTAACCTTCTTCTATGCTTTAGTCCTAACAAGCCGGTATCTTACCTGGAACATCAATACCTCATACTAAGTATAAGAAAAGCTCATCAGCACGTGAACAGATATCACCTGAAAGTTATTCCTTCGGCATTGCATTGACCTTTAAGTATCTCAATGTTTCAAGAGCAATCAATCTTTACAGGGCAACCTTAACTAGTTGTAGATGAAATACCGGATTCCTTTCATCCTGTTATGACCCCTGTGTAAGGAAGGGAGAATTGATTTAGCCACATGTTGTCTCTCCTTAAAACTCTTATTTGTTTTCTTGTCTACTTCCAGGGAAGTACAGGTATGCTCATCCAAGAAGCCTGGCACAAATCCAATTTCAGCACTATTACGTGTAAAAAAGCAAGCAGGGTTTTACTAAAATAACAACTGCTTTACCCTCATTTAAGTGTTATTGAGGATCTCCAGCACTATTTAAACGTCCCAAACCCAAAGCACATCAGTTGTGTCCCATGCCGATGTGCCCGTTCATAACATTAGAACATACTCACCATTCTTTGAAGTTCGTTGTCGGGTTCCTCTTTCACTTACTAAAGAAAAGAAAGTTATTAGTCAGGACAAAGTACAACCTAGCATAAGGGTTATTCATAGAGTTTGCTACAATAAAAGACTGACCCATTGAAATAAATGCTGCAATGCAATGACTGTGCTGTATTTACAAGCATGAAAACTGTTCTCCTGCCCAAAGAAACTTTGTATTGAATGATTCCTGAGAGAATACCCAGATGAACTCTTACACTTATGAAGCATTCCATCTGTAGAAAAATGTCATCAAGACTGGTATTTTTATTTTTAAGCAGAAAATTGGAGTTTTATTTCAAAGCATTTAAATATTTCACACCATTGTTTCCATAAATGCAATTTCTCCTTCATAATGTCATAAACCTGATTCTTTAAAGTAAATATATTATCATAACATTTCCATAATTGTTCTGTTCTGAAGTATTGTTTATTGCATTGGGATTTCAAGTGGAAAAAAATCTCCAAGTCCAATAATAATGAAAAAGCACAAAAAAATGCAAAGTATCTCTCTCTGAATTCTCTAAGAACAGACAAAATGTAAACAGCACATTCCCCCATGTTTTTCAACAAGTCTAGTTACCAGAATATAAAAGACTAGAAAATTTTAGAACAGAAACTCAGGTTCAGTTTTAATTATGTTCCCTCCAAGCCTCAAGAGAACATACACACAAAAATTTATTCTCTCAGTAGTTATTTTAATACAGATGTATGCTTAGTTTAGTAACATCTCATAGTAAACCAGAGGCATAGTGTAGTTTTAGATAAATACCAGACTCTCAAAAAAAAAAAAAAAAAAAAAAAAATCATTGGTCCAAAAAAAAAAAAAATTAAAATAAAATAAAAAAAGATGACAGACATGCTTGCAATGTTTGTTTTAGAGCATCACAAGACTTTAAAATTGTATGTTACCAGAGGATTTCCTATGAAAAGAAAAACAAGAATAAAAAGTAAGTATGAAATCTTAAAATGCAAATCTATACAGTTAAAACGTAAAATATTTTTGTGTACACATTTTGCTGTGGGGACAGGAGAAAAGCTGTAGAAATAATTTACTGCAGTAGCCATTTGAAATGTTGAGAAATACTTGAGTATTAGAACAACACCTAAATATATTCCCTGTTTTCATTGTAATACTCCAGCTCTGAATGGGGGAACTAGAATACAGAAACCCAGTAATATCACAATATACCATCTTTAATTTTCAGTAAAACCTATTAAACTCATTAGAATAGCCACTCGCCATGCAGCATTTTTGTCAATATGTAAGATACAAAGCATACAAACTACATCAATCATGGCTGACCCAGCCCATCTCATTTCAGTTGAAAAACATTTGAAAAAGTAAGAGCAAGTTTGCAGTGGCCAAGCAACCTTCCTTATCACAGACAAGGGCAAGAACTCATACTTAAGAAGAGAAAGGATGCAGGGCAGTACAGAGTAAGCCACAAATGCAGCATTTTTCACTTTCAGTAGCTGAAAGCATTTTAGTCCAAATTTTTTGTATCCTTTACTGGGTTTTGGGGCTCCCGCCACCACTTTGAGCTATCTCAAACAACTTGCCTTACCTGGAGGTGCACTGTGCTTGTATTCTAGCTTGTGCTGTGGATTCTTCCTGCAAAGAAAAAAATAAAAGCTTGATTTACCACCTTGTTCCACACCTAACAAGCTCAGAACTCCTTCGGTTAATTTTCATTTCTTTTTAAAATAGAATTCTATGACCAGTGCCTTACTGCAGTGTCTCAGCTTATAGAATGCAGGGTGGGGAAAAAAAAAAAATCAGATTAAATAAGAGTTCCTTTTGTTTCAACACTAAAAAAAAAAGTAGATGGCTGATCAAAACCAGGAGACAAGATAGCTTCCCAAGTTGTATGACGAGATGCATTTGTTCAGCATAATAACTGATCCAGTTATTTACTCTCACTAAAAATGAAAACAGAACATAACTTCTGGTACATTAAGTATAACGCATGCACAGTGCATTACAGGTCTGAGACATCCAGGCATAGCTTCCACATTCTGAAACATATGGCTACAAATTAAAGTAGTTTGGGAAAATTAAAGAATTTTGATAGAACTGCTTGTCTCAAAGATCACAGGGAGAGGCCACAGAAGGATTCTTCAGAGAGATTACTCACTTCTGCAATATGCTGCTGCAATCCACCAAATTCAGTTTACAAGTCTATAAATCTTCTCTTAAAAGAACAGCATCAAAGCCATGAAAGAACATTTAAAGTCAGCTTACTCTTGGATCTGCGACACACGTTCCCCTCATTCAGGCTGCAATCCAGGTCATTAACACACTGATTGATCTTCCCTCCATTTATCCAATGCTGCTCTAACATTTTAACTTGGTCCAACTTAAATTGTGCTAATCTGCGTTGTTAGTAAGTTAGAGGCTTTTCCCACAGCTACATGTTTCAACTTTTTTGTGCAGAAAATTTAAAAAAAATTTGTAACTTTGGAAGAAAAGCAGTTTGGTTGGCCTAATTTTTCCTTCTGAAAATAAGCAACAATTAAAGCCAACTATTTAAGAATGACATACCCTGTGACGGTGCTTGAAAGTTGAAATTAATTTCTGCAACTGCAGAAGTTTTTATGTCTTTTAGAAAATACCCTTGCTGTGAAGACTGCCTTGTAAAATCAGTTGCTTGCTTATGTTTTCTTATTCTTCAAAGAACAGAGTAATACAGTTAGCCTTCAGTAGAAAAATCTTATTTTTATGTCAAATAACTTGTGACAAATTCACACACTTCAAGTTGATTTACAATTCTATAATTACTGCCACCCCAAAGTACATTATGTGAGCATTAGAAGTGATAGTTATCCAAATAAAAAAAAAAAAAGGAAATAGAGCTTCCTATTAAGCACACTGTAGTGGAACAAAAATAATTGCCTATTTCAGTGTTCTACTACTATCGTCAGCATCAGACCATTTGATCCCAATTCAAGGCATAGCCTTTAGATCATTTAATTATGCTACTTCAAGTAGTAGCCAACAGGTAAAGACAACAAAAATAACAAGAAAACCCTTCCAATTGCATTTGTTGCTTTGTTGAAAGAATTATCATTGCTTCATGAGTGCCTCCTTTCCTCTACCCCCAAAGAATAAAACACAGATGAAGAAATGATCAACTAATACAGCACAGAGGTTGTCTTGACTGGAAAGAGAGTTTTGGGTTTGGATAAAGTATCCATTGTACTCCTGAAAAGTATGTTGGCAATTTCATTACCAGTATAAACCCAGATTTCCCATCCTGAGATAAGAAATTAATGTTTAGTTTCTGAAAAGTAGCGATGACACTTCTTCTGCATTAGCCAAATGCAACACAGCTTTTTCTTAAAAGCTACCCTCATTTTGTTACACTTCATAGAGAACACACTCTTTAGGATCACCACACTTTCTGGGAGAGAGGAGAAAATGTTTCTGCTCAGGCACAATCTTTATTAACAGCAGCCCTTAGTTGCAGTATGCCCCCCCAGAAGTGCTATTGCCTCAAAATATATCTTTTTGTCCATTGTGTCAGTTACACAGCAGTCATTAAACTCTGCTAAATAAAAGTGTAAAACCTAGACACTGAGAAACAAAATGGAATAAAACAATCTTTTGAAGAAAATCAACAGTGCTTAGAAGAAACCATAGTCAGCCATAAAGTGAATTTTATTGCTGTTACCTAAATTATGCTTTCTAACAAATCAAATACTGATTAAAATAGAGTTTTTGTACAAAAGCTCAACATGTACTTTATCAAATTTTAAACTAAAAGTTATATATCAAGAACAACATGTAACAATAAATTGTTTATATAAAAAAGAAGAATTTACTACATTCTGACAAGTGAAAAAGTATTGATCTCTAGGTCATTGAATAGGTTCCGAGAGTCAAGTTTTCACATTCACCAGCTGAAATCACTGACAAATATTTTGCACAGACTTTGGTGCTTTAAAGGTGGCAGCCTGTCCACAGTAAATTTCAGAAGGCAGTGAGACTTTATGAAGATCCATAACAATAGGCTACACTCAAGATTTAACACCAAGAATTACTCATTATTCTATTGTCATTTTGTAACTCCAGAGGAGAACAGTCTTAACCTGTAAAACAAGAAAAGCCATTTTGTACAGCATTTCTTACCTATAACAAGCCGTTCCATAAGGACATTCAGGCCGGTTATCATTGTTATCCTGAGTTACGATCTCAGTTTCGTGATAGTCATCATCATTAGGGTGACTGAACTGCTGAAAGTGAATGGGATTCTTCCTGCAAAAGACAAATATATATCGAGAACTGACTGTTCCATTTAAACATGAGAAGTGGAGATAAGATGTTATCGAATCAGTGACAGCTCATTTTTCTGTGGTTACATAAAAAGTAGCTTTTAATGTCTAACTTTCTGCAGAAAGTTAGACCTACTTGCAGGATAACAGCTTTATGTCTGCAAAGGCTGCAAAAAAAGGTTAAACCAGGCATTTTGCTATTCGCAATCAGCTTTGAGTTTTGGACCTCCAACACATACACAACCTACTGATGCAGTCATGGAGCATGAATCTTACTCAGTAAATGACTTGCTTGGTTATGACTCCCTCTGGAGCTATTGAAGTGCGATAGAAACTTCTGCTTGAAGTCTTTGCTCAAGTTGGAAAAGCTAACGCATGGCAGCTGAACAACTGCAGTACTAAAGACTCCCCACACCCTTGGGATATCATACATTAGCTTCAGGTGATCCGTCTCAACTGTTATTTTTGTTCAGTATGCAAGTTACTACTCACTGGAATACTTAAAATGACAGCATATTACCCCAGATGGAGCAGTCTATTGAACATTACATTGATTATGCAGTCAAGCTTGGTTGGCTACCATGACATTTTATTTGAAATATTAAATTACAATGATGACACAAAGTTGTACCATAAGACACAACAGCTCTGCACGTAGTCGAGTCACACCAGCATCGGTGGTGAGAGCGCATTGCTAGCACCCACAGGTTTTTGCTCTACAACACCTGCACAGTTGAATCCAAGGTGAGCAAGCAGTGAATACAAATATATGCATCACTGAAAAAACATTTCTACTGCTTCTAGGCAAGTATGTTTGCATACACGCCATACAAGACAAGGCGGCTATAAACAACACTACTTAGAGAAGAGTTTGTTTTATAAAACTTCTGTAAGTGATGTTAAAAAGAACACAGAAGAAAGGTTAGGACTTCAGGAGAAATTCACGGGAAAGATCAAAACATACTACAAAAATTATGTCAAAGCGAACACAATGGTATGAAGAGCAAATCTACTTTTTCCCTATGATTTCTATTGAGACGCTTTTTTCCAAACATAATATTTAAAATCATGGAATATGAGATATTTTAATAAATTATTTTCCAAAAGACTTCCACAAAATACTGCAGTGATTTACCACACTAATTCCCAGAGTATGTAATCTTCAATGTGTTTGTGCAAATTATAAAAGTGAACTGCTTACCTCAAGCAAGAAGAATGACAACTTTAAACCACAGAGTAATTACTGCTTTAATTTATGCTCGTTACAGCTGTGTTTAGAAACACAGAGCCAGAAACACTTATGTCGCTATGATACATACACAGCAGCTCCCTCATTGATCACAGGCATTCTTTCCTTTAAATTCACAACTACCTCTTACGAACTTTGGCAACAGCCAACGTTAATTTCAGCATTTCAACTACTACCATAGGAAAAAACAAAACAAACAAACAAAAAACTTCTGTCACAGCTTTTGCAAAATTATTACTTAAGCACTGTGAGCTCTACTAGCCATTCAGGCCACCTTTTAGGCATTCAAAAACATTTAGATATTTAGTATTAATACTTTAAATCTCGATCAACCAGGTATCTTCCACTCAGGAAGCTCAGCGAGCAAGCTACAGATCAAGTCCTCAATGAGCTACTCAAAGACCCAGGAGCCCTTGGATCTGTTTACACATGAGACAGACTTCTTGTCCTGGTCTTTTCTGTTAATTTCTGCAAACTGTAAGGTAAGTAAATGCTGCTTCACTAGAAATCATTGCAAGGTTGCATTTACCTGTTGTTTACTCTCAAGAAACATCACTTCTTACACCAAATTCAGGCTGGCTGCCTACTTTTCCCAGTTAAAAATAAATGTAATTTTAGAGGATACTTGTGTTGTTTTCTAAATGCACAGAGCTAGGTTATCAGCAAGAATTTTGAGCCATTTAAGACAATTTATCTTCTCAAAGGGATACAGAAGCAACTAATGTTCTGTGAAATCATTTTTGTATTCCTTAAATAAGATACATGTAGCATCATAGTCACCAAGGGAAGAAGGCCTAAGAGCTGTCATTTAGCCAACCTGTTGTATTTTAGGAGATACCCATTTCCTTTCAAAAATTTACTTTGAAACCTACTTGGACAACACCAAACAGCCCTCATTGGAGGAGAGGGAAAAAAAAAAATATTAAAAGAAAGTAGTATGGGAGGAAGGAGGAGGAGATGTACACTCTGTATCACAAGGCTTCAGGATTCTTTGGGCCAGCAGATGGTGCTCCTCCAATTATATGTTACCTGTGAAACACCTTAAACAGGTCCTACTTCAGATGCTCAGGACTAGCAGAAACATTGTACTTTAGCTTGCCTTTACCTAGATAATTTGTACTTATTCCACTTCTATGTGTTGTGCAGTAATATCCAGCAAAATAAATAGAGGCAGAGAAGTGCATAGCTTACATTAAGCAAACATTTTCCCTTCCTGCAAAAATCTTAAGCTTCTTCCTTTTATTAAGGGTTTGGTTTGCTTGTGGGTTTGGTGGGGGTTTTTTTTAAGACACAGATATTTGAGTTGTAAGAGCACATCTATCACGAGTTGTGCTCCAAAGTTAATTAGTTTCACAACAAAACCTCACTGCATAGGAACGTGTTATTCATTTGATCAAAACAAAACATTTAAGCGTTACTCACACAACAATTAACAAATTAAAAGCCTATTTTAAGAATAAAGTTTTATGGGAGATTTGCCATCTCATAAACATGCACAGATACTGCAACTTTCCTTTCACAGAAGCTCTGAATTTGTGTACTCACACTCCATGATGCAGAAAATTATGCAAATAAAAATTATACAAATAGAACTGATGAAGTTCTTCAGAACCAATATAGTCATCTCAGGCAGAAGTTGAATATTGCTCAGCAAAATATTTAACACAGGCTTTTTGTCTGTGCAGCTACCAAAAACAAGTTAAAAGCTTTTTCTAAAACGAGTTTAATTGATTAGGTCAGAATCCCTGGCTCTTCATAATCACATGCAGAAGACCCCTGCCATCTCAAGGGCTTATTTTTTCAGCTACTAAAGAAACTGGCGGTGAACATATAATGAATTACTAGCACTAATTATAGAGCCACAGAATTCAAGCCTGAAGTTAAGCCACAATTGCGCTCAAGATGTTTGTAAGTTCTAAATTGTAAGTCTTATTAGAAGACAAGATTCAATATAGATACATGTAGGTCTTCAGCTGCCAGATTTGCAAGTTTAAGGTGAAAGGAAAAAATACTTTCATAAACAAACAAAGAGCAAAGTATTTAGAAGAATGCACATACAAATCCAAAGGTTGGTTGAACATGCCCTGCTTTGACAGCTACAGGAAAGATTTACACACACCCAGTCAGCAGAGCACTGTATTGCAGGCTAGCAAAAGGACAGAACTGTGAACAAAAATTGCGGGTTACAGTTTTAGAGGTGAGAGTTCAAGTCTACGGCAACCCTTCTATGCAGCCCTTGAAAAGGGTGGCTGGGTTTGGATTTATTTTTATTTTTAATTCCATCTTATAAGTTCAGAAAAACAAGCAGCAAACAAGAAAATGACCACAAGACAGTACTCAAAATAAGTTCCTTGACAACAAATATAGTCAGATACAGCATACACAGCACACTTTGCCTCAGTTTCAGTTTTCTTTCAATTTTGTAAAGCTTCAGGCTACCTCAGAAAGAGAATGTGACACTGAAGGGCAACAACAAGAAGAATCCCTGGAGCAAGAGGCACGCATCAAGCTTGATTCTTTCAAAGCAGTGTTTTCAAATTCGTAAATGAAAAAACTGAACTATGGGTTATGAAGTTATTTCCAAAATGTTTAAGATATGTGTTAGAGAAATCAAATAAAATTAATACAACTAACTACCAATTTGTACTGGTTTACGAGGCACGTACCAAAGGTGCCAAAGTCCTATCCAGAATACAAGTATCTCTTAATAGGAGTTTACAAAAATAAAGACTAGAACTCTGAAGAGCATTTAGTTATTTGATAAATGAAACTTTATGAATAAGAAACATCACCTAGAAAAAAACCCACAAAACTTTCAAGCAACTGTTACGTTTACCAAAGCAGTACTCACTTAAGAAGTTGACTGCTACATCACATCTTGTTAGAAGACACCTTTCATAAGGTTAAAGTAACAAAGGAGGGGAAAACCAACTGCCCGTTGTACTCAAAAGAGCACCCATTCACGTCACACATACACGTCCTGTTAAAAATGTAGGTGACTGCAGTGACTTGCTTTACTCTAACATAGCTATCCCATTGACTCAGAAAGACTACTTGGTAGTCTGTATTAAAAACAAATGCTAAGACTGACTACAAAGCGTATTTCTTTTGCTGCAAACAAGCAGGTTTAGTCTCATGACACTTCCTGAAGATCAAAGCTGATGTTTTTGATACTTCACCTTTGCAAATTTCTCCAACAAAGGTAAGATTTTGTTATGTGTTATTTCAGAACATTATCTATTGCCTT